GTTATCTTCTTAAATGACGGGCGGTGCAGGTGGTTCAGGGGGCGGGGATTTCATTCCAGCGACCAATACGCAAACGGATGAACTGCACAGGAAGTCAAGAGTGTGGTGTCGTGTGACGGAGGGTCAGAGGATGGGGACGTGGGAGAAGTGGCATGGGGACTACAAGCTGCGCTGCAATTACTGCAAGCATGTGTGGCAGGGAAATTTGTTTAAGGCGCAACGCCACTTCACGCAGTGCACGACAGCAACGATGGACGTGTTTGTGGATATTTGGAACCACACAGAGTACGAGTTCGATGCGCGTCATCACCCTGGTATCTTGGCATACATGAGAGAGCACGATATCGCGGATAGACGAGTCGTCGACGTCCCTCGAGGCAGTGGCAGCGGGAGGACGGGTGGGAGGCAGTCGCGACCACAGGAGCGTGATCCTGTGGGCACCTCGAAAGGACTTCCTTGACGAGGAGGCCAGGCGAGCAGAGGCCGGGGGCATTGAGGAGGGTGGAGGGACAGGGACAACACCAGATTTGCCGAGAGAGGAGGTGGTTATGACTGCGCGAGGGAGTAGTGGCGGTGACCATCACGAGGGGGGCGCACGAGGGCGAGCGGGGAAGAGGCCGGTTGAGAGTGAAGTTGAGGGCGTGCCGCAGGCGCACAAGAGACAGTGGCAGTCCAGACTGGACGAGGTGTACAATCCGGATGGGCAGGCCACATTTAGGGACTCATTTTTGCAGTGGGTGTACGATTTCAATATCCCGTTTGCTGCATTCATGAGACAATCATGGATTCAGCACAAGAAGCATTTGGCCGCCATGCCTCGCGGAGTGCGGCCAATCTATCCTTCGTTCAAGGATATTGGGGGTGACGGTATTGTTGATCAGTGAGGGAAGGTTGCCGCGATATTGAGGGAGGTCCGTGGTTCGTTTGAGTCGGTAGGGGCCACCATTTTGTCGGACGGTAGGCAATTGCGAGACGCTAGGCCTATAGTTAACTTCCTCGCAGCCGCCAAGTGTGGTGCCCTTATGTATGCCACCGTCCAGCGAGACGGTTCAATGCCCAAGACGACACAGATCGTCCTGAGGTGGTGGAAGACCATTTTTCGGTCTTTCCCTCTGAAGGACGTGTTGGCCATTTGCACGGACTCTGTGTCGAACTATACGTCGGCCGCGAAGCTCCTTGCAAAGGACTCTGATCCCCAGATCCGTCGTATCACTTGGCTCCCGTGTTCCACCCACGTCTGCAACTTGATGTTGTCTGACATCCGGACACGGGTTCCTTGGGTTACGGACACCATATTCAGAGCTCGAGCGTTGGTGTGATTCATTAAATTGCACGGTGCGGCTTATCACATTTTCAGGGTGAAGAGTCGTTGCCGCACACTTGTGCACCCCGTGGAGACGTGATTCGCGTCCGTTTTTTTTATGTTTGTGTGTTTGCTCGCCAGGCGTAATGCCTTGGAGAGCATGCTTCATGACGACGAGTGGGACAAGATCCCATGGGAGCCGTCCAAGCGTAGACAGACTCTGTGGGTTCGACAGGTCATCCGTTGCACCGATTTCTGACGCTACGTTCAGCACACTGTCGTTGTCATAACCCCTGTCCACCAGCTGTTGAGGAGATTGGACAGGGGCGGCATGATCTTGTCCATGATTTTCTCATGGTCGCAGGAGTTGCTGTTGCAGGTGGCTGCTGTTGACGTCCCTGATGACATGAGGGGGCCGTGCGTGGAGGCGGTGCAGATCCGCACCACACATATGCTTGACCATGCACAGGCTGTGGCGCACCTGCTCAACCCACGCAGACGTTCTCTCCGTTACTACGAGTCCGTCCGCAGGACAACTGCGGACCTCGAGGTGGTCACCAAGTGCGACTCGTTTCTATTAGTGCAGACAGGCGGTGATCCGGTGGGGGAGACATACTTGCGGGTGCGGGAGCAGATGCGGTCCTTCCACACTCAGATTGGGCACATGACAGACAGGGTGACGAGGGACGCCGAGGCAGAGGCCTGTATCGGGGATGACAAGACGAGCAAGTGCGCGTCCTGGTGGGTGGAGCACGGCGCATGCTTCCCGGACTTGCAGGAGATCGCTGACCGTGTGATGCATATGTGGACGTCCGCCTCTCCTGCTGAGAGGAATTGGGCAGAGCATGGGCGCATCCACACGACGAAGCGCAACAAGCTCGAGTTCAGGAAGGTTGCACAGTTAGTTGACATTGATACAAATCTCAAACTACTTGGATGCAGCGAGAGGAGGGGGAGGTACGTTCTTCCGTGGGGCCACATTGCGACCCTGGTTGAGGCGCAGCCAGAGGAGTACACACACCCGCTGGTGGACGACGAAGATGAGGAGGAGGAGCCTGAGCCAGAGGAGTGGGGAGCTAGACCTCAGTCAGTAGTGCCGACACATGAGATCAGTGCACAGGTTCGTCGCTTCCAGCAGCAGGCTGCTTGTCGCCCAGCAGGAGTTGCTGAGGTTTTCGGTGCCAGAGCCGAGATACTCCATCCTTACGACTACGTGCCTCCACCGCCAGCAGAGTCGGTGCAGGCGTTGGAGGACCAGACATACACGGAGGGCGGAGAGGATTTACCAGCCGGTGTAGATAAGAGTGTCGAGACTCTACTACACGTACGGAGGAGGAGCAGACGGATTTCAGCCATGCTGCACCGTCATTCGGGACAGCGACGACAATTTCATCCCCGCTACGGATATAGGGTTGGACCGTGGACAGCGAGACGCTTTAGGCGGCGCGAGCGGAGTTGCTACAGGTGGCACGAGTGGAGATGCTTTAGGCGGGGCGAGTGGTGTACTCCCTAGTGGAGAGAGAGAGAGAGAAAGAGGCGACCGGGCTGGTGAGTGCGAACGACGACGACAACGAGGACAACGACGACACGCCGTTGGTGATTCGCAGAGCACACTTGGCGCGCCAGGGAGCTGCGCCTGCCGCTGAGGGTTTTAGGAGATCAGTGAGGCTGCAGCCGCTGGCTGGATCGACTTCAGGTGGTAGACGCGAGGTGCCGGACCATCTACACGACATCAGAGCAGAGGAGCATTTCAAGTTGCCGAGCCAGCATACACCCACCTCAACACCTCGAGGCAACAGGGAGCAGACGGAGCTGTGCAGAGCTGCACACTAGTGACTTTCAGGGCCTTGGACTCGGATTTTCGGGCAGCGATGTTCGAGGACGGACTGACGGGCGAGAGAGAGTGGGGGATGACAGAGAGTATCATCCTATGGAGGGTGGTGGAGCGGAGTCCACGGAGGAGCTCCATGGCCGGATGGATCGAGAGGAGGAGCAACGGCAGGAGCAATTGCAGAGAGAGTGGGTGGGTAGAGATGCGTACATGGCGGAGCATCAGCGTCTTCGGGACTTGGAGACCAGTACTGCAGTCCCTGATGCGGGCGGGGTCGAGCATAGCGTTCCTACAGTCCCACACCGATTCGCAACCGACGCAGTGACACCTGACACACGCGGGCCGTTGACATCGCCCCAGGGAGATGCTGGCTTGGGGTCCGCGATGGGAGGAGATGACGATGCGTTGAGTATGGAGATCCGGCCGTGTCCAACATCATACTTCGACTGTGTGCGGCGGGCACGTTACAGCCTGATCCTCCAGTTACTCAGGAGGCAGCTCCTATGGAGGGCGATTCGGGCGAGTTGGACGGAGGCCACATACCCGATGCGGAGGGGGATGATGGGGCGGGTGATGCAGGGCATCTTGCACCTGGGCACAGTGTCGGTTTAGGTGATGTCATCCGTGATGATGGGGCGGGTGATGATCCGGTGGAGGTCAGAGGCAGTATGTCGTTGGCGTTGGTGTTGCGTGATCCTTCAACGGTGGCGCACGAGGTTGTGTCACAACCTGTGGACTCAGAGGGAGGAGGTGGTGTGGATGAGGAGGGGGAGGGTGGTACAACACATGACCATCATGACCCCGTGAGAGCAGATCTGGAGGAGGGGCAGATTACACCGGGCCTACTCGACCCTCACGCGTTGCACCGTGCGCAAGTGGAGGATCTGATTAGCAGGGGACCTCCAGGATCTCATAGGGCCGTAGTTCGCTCGCCTCCGCTTTACACTCCTTTGAGCCCTCTGTATTCTGGCTCTCCAGCGAGCTTGGAGTGCGAGCAGCAGCGTTCAGAATCTATTAGAGCAGCGGCTTTGGGTACACGCACGACTCACATCCCCCTAGTTAGACCTCCTCCACCGGCTGCACTCCACGGTACTCCGCCACCTGCCAGGGGTAGTATTGTCAGGAGAGGCCACATGTCGTCGTCGTCATCTCGCCTCGACACACAGCAATCGCTTCACCATCCCTGGAGCACAGTGCGACGAGTTGATGATGGTGTGAGGGGTGATTTCGCGGCCCAGCGGCACGATTGAGGGAGGACTCGGAGGAGCAGCAGAGCGCACCGAGTATGGGGACTGCTTATCGCATTCTCGGACTTCCTACATACAATGCGTGTAGAGACCTACTTGTAGGTTCACGCATGGTCTCGTCTGCGTTGTACACTTCCGGAGAGGACGGCGTGCCGGCGCTTCGTGGAGAGCGACATCACAACAACATTAACGAGTTAGAGTCTCGTATTGCTAGGGACCAGATGCGATTGAGGGAGTTGCACGACGTGCAAGACAGGGAGCGCGTGAGGTTGGCGGTGACGCTTGGTTCAGAGGAGTCCATCGACGTTCTGAGGTGCAGGGAGAGAGAGAGAGAGAGAGAGAGAGAGAGAGAGAGAGAGAGAGAGAGAGAGAGAGAGAGAGAGAGAGAGAGAGAGAGAGAGAGAGAGAGAGAGAG